TCAGGCTGTAGGTGAAAGAAGGCAGGTGGGTGAGTCATTTACCTTACCAGGCCAGGCAGCTTCCCCAGCTACAAAACAGAGTTGCTCTATGCCTGCTCAGGGCTTCCCAATGCTCTCCTCTGCCACTCCCAGCCAGGTGGCACAGTTTCCAGCCACACCGCAAGGTCTCTCACAGGAGCCGGGCCTCAGCTTCCTAGCTAGCCTCTCTGCTTTCATTCCCACCCACTTCCAATCTCATTGTCCCACAGTTGCCAAGGTAAGGTTTTTATACAACAGAGCTTGTTGCTGGGATTATGGGTGTGAGCCACCATGCCCAGCCAAAATTTTTTTTAGAGACAGGGTCTCACTCACTCGTAGGCAGGAGTGTGGTGGTAGAATCATAACTCACCGTAACCTTAACTTCTGGGTTCAAGTGATCCTCCCACCTCAGCCTCCCAAGTAGCTGGGATTACAGACTTGTGTCACCATGCTAATTTTAAAATTTTTTGTAGAGGCAGGGTGTCTCACTATGTTGCTTAGGCTGATCTCAAACTGTTTGCTTCAAGCAATCCTCCCACCTCAGCCTCCTAAAGTGCTGGAATTATAGGCCTACAACTCCTTTAATACTCCCAAAAACCCCATGCAGTATGTTTTACTATCACCATTTTACAGATAAGGAAACCAGAGTTCAGCAAGGTCAAGTGCCTTGCCATTGCGTATAAGTCCATTTTCACGCTGCTGATAAAAGACTGGGTCATTTATAAAGAAAAAGAGGTTTAATGAACTCACAGTACCACGTGGCTGAGGACGTCTCACAATCACGGTGCAAGGCGAAAAGCACATCTTATATGGCAGCAGGCAAGACAGAATCAGAGCCAAGTAAAAGCGGAACCCCTTATAAAATCATCAGATCTTGTGAGACTTATTCACTACCTTCAATATTTAAAAAAAAGAAAAAATGAATCAAGGACCAGAGACTTCGAAATTAAAAAAAAAAAAGAAAGAAAGAAAAGAGACTTATTCACTACCATGAGAACAGTATGCGGTAGACTGCTCCCATGATTCAATGATCTCCCACCAGGTCCCTCCCACAACACATGGGAACTAAGGGAACTATAATTCAAAATGAGATTTGGGTGGGGACACAGCCAAATCATATTACCCTGGTTCACATGGCTAGAATCGGTAGAGTCAGGATTCAAACCAAGAACCCTTATGAACGGAACTCATAAGAGTGCAACTGTGGCAGGAGGCTGTGATTCCAGAGAGGTATTATGGCAGCTTACCAAAAGATACTCAGTAAAAGCCAGAAAGACTGGACCAAGCTTGTCCAACCTGTGGTCCCCCCAGGCTGCATGCAGCCCAGGATGGCTTTGAATGAGGCCCAAATGCAAATCTGTAAACATGAGATTTATGCACAAACTGTTTTTTTGTTTTAGCTCATCAGCTATTAGTGTTATTTTATGTGTGACCCAAGACAATTCTTCCAATCTGGCTCAGGGAAGCCAAAAGATTGGATACCCCTGAACTAGATCCCAGGGTGGGGAGTGGCTAAGACCCCCAAGCCAGGGTCTTTCCTCCAGCGGAAGCCATAGTGCCTCCCCATGGCCAAGACAGTGAGTGATTTAAGAATGGAATTACTGGCTTAGAAGCCAAAGTTTGACTGTAGTATCTCCAACTCTGGCTCCAGTTTTGAAAATCAGAATTCTTTGGTAATGGAAAACTCAAAATAGGAGAGCCTGCCCTTAGGGTATTTGTAGAGGGCTTTGAAGTGGTCTCAAATTACTGACAAGTGAAGATGAGGTACAGTTAACAAAGCAACCAGTGCAGAAGCAGGTCTCAAGGGCAATTCACATTTATTTCCTCATGCTGACTAAACATACTTCAAACACAGCAGAAGGTCAAGAGTCTGTTTTGAAGGTAAAGCGTTTCTTGCCAAAGGTGAACGGTGGTCCACGAAGAGTAACTTAAGCATCATCTTCAAGCTGAGGCTCCAGCTCTGGGCAAACAGCTGCTGGGTGGACCTGGTCCTTCTGGCCTGGATGGGGGCCTCCAAGGAACTACTTGTCCTCATACTTGTGCTTGATGTGTTTCCACAGCTTCTACATTTTAAAGACAAGAGCCACAAACTTTGACCTTTGCCTCTCACATTTTACAACTATTCCCACTACCGTGGTCTCTAAAACGAGCTTGGGAGAAACACATGCCATGCCCTGATTAAAAACATACGCTTGCAGTGGGCAAACTGAAAGCAATCCTAGGCTTGATGCACAATTTTCTTTTTCTTTTTTGAGACAGAGACTTGCTCTGTCACCCAGGCTGCAGTGCAGTGGTGCAATCTTGGCTCACTGCAACCTCCATTCACTGCAACCTCTACCTCCTGGGTTCAAGCGATTCTCCTGCCTCAGCTTCTTGAGCAGCTGGGAATACAGGTGTGTACTACCCAGTTACTTTTTGTATTTCTGGTAGAAACGGGGTTTTGCCATGTTGGGCAGGCTGGTCTCGAATTTCTGACATCAAGTGACCCACCCACTCTGGCCTCTCAAAGTGCTGGAGTGACAGGCGAGAGCCACTCACCCAACCTTCATGCACAACTCTTGGCATTTATAAAAACGATGCTTTCAATCACCAGGTGAAGTAAGTGGAAAGGGATGATCTTTAGGAAATTCAGGTTGAGACTGAGGGAAGTGCCCCAAAGCACACAATCATTAATAAAAACAGTCTGGAAGACATCTCAGTTCAACTCCCAGGTATTATTGAAGAGGTTGTAAGTGCATAGTCCCAAAATATTTCACCATAAGCCATTTAAAACATTTCCTGGGACCTAAATTGGCTGAAATTCTCATTCCCAAAAGCACAAGAGGCTAAGCACAGTGGCTCACGACTGTAAACCCAGCATTTTAGGAGGCTAAGGCAGGAGGACTGCTTGAGCTCGGGAATTCTAGATCAGCCTGGGCAACAGGGTGAAATCCCATCTCTATAAATAATACAAAAATTAGCCGGGTGTGGTGGTACATGCCTGTGGTCCCAGCTACTTGGGAAGCTGAGGTGGCAGGATCACTTGAACTCAGGAAGTCAAGGCTGCAGTGAGCTGTGATCATGCCACTGCACTCCAACCTGGGCGACAGTAAAACCATGTCTCAAAAAGAAAAAAAAAAAAAGGCTGGATGCAGTGGCTCATGCCTGTAATCCTAGCACTTTGGGAGGCTGTGAGCGAATCACAAGGTCAGGAGGTCGAGACCAGCCTGGCCAACATGGTGAATGCTCGTCTCTACGAAAAAAATACAAAAATTAGCCAGGCATGGTGGCGCGCGCCTGTAATCCCAGCTACTCAGAAGGCTGAGGCAGGAGAATTGCTTGAATCTGGGATGTGGAGGTTGCAGTGAGCCGAGATCGCTCCACTGCACTCCAGCCTGGGCAACAAAGAAGACTCCATCTCAAAAAAAAAAGCACAGGGAAAGTGGGTGAGTTATAACAGCATACTTAGCTGTCTTTCCAGATCAATGGGAATGGTCAACAGAACCACTTCCAAGAGATGGGACAGTGGCAATGCCTTCACATGGGCAGGAAGTTGCACTGGTCACAGGTGGCATAGCACTAGTGGACAGTGCCTTCCCAGGCTGCAGAGTCAGACAGCCTCAAATTAAAAACACAAGTGAGTGCTGGAACAGGGCTATATATATAAGGCCTACTCCAATACAGTCATAATTTACCAATATAAAGCATACCCTGCACCTAGCACAGTGCCTAGTACATAAGAGTTAAAAATGTGTCGTGATTCCTGTCTCATGCTTCCACTTTCTCCTAAGGAATTTAAACAATGGTTATTTTTTAGTGGTACCACCTACCAGAAATGTGGCTCCCTGCCTGCATCTCATGTCATCCTCACAACAGTGCTCAGGTCACTATTTATATCTCCATCTCACCATTAAAACTGGACCTCAGAGAAGAAAATTGGCCAACTTAATTCCACAGTTAAGTGACAAGGACCAGTGTTCCTATCCAAAGCTTTCTGATTTCATAGCCCCCCACCTCATTAATACTAACGCCTATGTGGGAAGCCTTGGGGACCGGAAGCGCCATCTTGAAACTACAGCCACGGCGTCTAAGGTGTCTAATGTCCTTTTCACGACCGTTGCCTGCTCAAGTCTGCCCTAGAAACCCTGAGTCAGAGGTCCCGTTTCTGGTTCTGACTTGCCCCTGGCTTCCTGGTGGTGTGCACTTAGTAAGTCCTTTGCTCTGAGTAGCCTTTAGTTTTCGCTTCTGAAAACTGACAAGTGGGTACGTGGGGTGGCACAAAGCAATACTTACAACCCCTGTAGTGAGATAGATTAACCTCGCTCAACGTTTTATAATTCACATCAAGCCAAGAGGACGGACGGCAGACTCGAGACAGAAGACGCCGACAGTTTACCCCTTACCCCCTGCCTGGTGAAGTTAGACTGAGTCCCGTCCCCTCAACTCCCACTGTCAACCCTCAGGTGGGCCCAAGGTCAGGGATGGCCCAGGCCCTCACCCCCTCGTTGATGTGGTCGTAGATGGCGTTCGCGCCTTGATCGAAGGCGCGCTCGAAGAACAGGACGCCCACGACGATGGTGAGGGCGAACGTGGAAGTCCTGCGGAACAGCAGGGAGTAGATTTTCCCAGTCAACGTCCGGTACGCCATGTTTCTTCACAGTCTATCTCGCGCCACTGCGCCTGCGCCGGGGCCGACCTCGTTCTCCAAAGACCCTAGACCTGCAACACTTTATGGGATTTGTAGTTCCTCTGAATCTCAGTGTTGGTTGTTTTCAAACACAGAGGTACAGCTGTCCTGGGCTTGAGGGAAAAAAATATCATGAGATTCATATCAGAACAGCCCAAATAATCTGATAAAATTTATTAAGCAATTTTTCTTCAGAATTCCTGGCTGTTTAAATAGGTTAAACTACAACTCCCAGAAGCCCTCGCGCGCGATCACCTTCCCCCCCCCCCCCCCCCCCCCCCTCCGCCTGATCCCTTCTTAGATTTCCAAAGCTCTCTGGGAAAGGCGAACTGATAGCTAAGGCGGGACTACGAATCCCAGCAAGCAGTGCGTGACGCGCGGACGCAGGAGGAGGAGCCCGGAGCTATAGCCACCTGGGAGACAGGTACTTTCTTCGGCGGGACATGGCGGTAGGGCGAGTCCTAGTTTCTTTTCCCCGCACGGAAGACTTGAGCTCTTCCTTCTCTGTCCGTGCACCCCGCGGGGAGACGCACCATTTCTTGGGATGGGGAGTGTATAGAGGGCGAGGGGATCTGGGTTACCGAGACTCTGGCTCATCCCTTCGCCTTGACCCTCCACCAGCCCCAAGTCCAGGCCAAGAGTTGGGGCCTGTGACAAAAGTCTTGTCCTGGAAGTTGAACCCTCCACCCTGGCTTAAGGGCAGGGACAGATATGCCCTGCTTCCTGTTCCTCTCACCCCTCGGTTTCGCACCCAGCAACCCTGGCCTGGAAGGCTGGAGACTTGGGACCTGCTTAGGATAGGAAAGAGCAAGGGCTTGGAGTACCCGGGGCATTCAACACATGTTTTCCCAGCACCCGTTCTGGTCCCTCCTCTGGGGACCCTGCAGTGAACGTGTCCCCGCTCTCACAGGGCGCTCAATCTACTGAGTGGGCGGATGGGGAGGTACAGGATATGAAACAGATAGTGCTTTGGTTGACTAGAGAGGTAGTGGTGGTGACATTGCACCCTGGGTGGCCGCTCTGAGGGTGACACTTGACTAGAGACTTGAATAGTAGCAAGTTGAACAGGAAAACGTCGGTGCAGAGGCCTTGAGGCGGCTGCAGTCCTGGGATGTTTGAGGGAAAGAAGTAGAGTGGACTGTGAAGAGGTGAACGCACGTCTGGTCAGCTCATATCTGGCCTTGTAACCCACATTAAGGAGTCTTGTTGTCTTTGTTTTTGTTGTTAGAGACAGGGTCTCACTGTGTTGCCTAGGCTGATCTCCAACTCCTGGGCTCATGCGATCTTCCTATCTTGGCCTCCCATGGTGCTGGGACTACAGGTGTGAGCCACCGTGTCTGGTCAAGGAGTCTTGTTTGTTTTTTTTTTCTAATTGTACTATGAAACCACTGAAGGGTTTTTGGCAGAAATGTGACAAGATTTAATTTGCACTTTAATGTCATCTTTCTCGCTGGTCTCTGCAGAGTGGACTTCGAGGGGAAGTTATTGTAGTAGATCAGTTGAGGGAAGATGGGTGGTTATTTTTAATTTTTTTTTCCTTTTGAGATGAAGTCTCGCTCTGTCGCCCAGGCTGGAATGCAGTGCCACGATCTTGGCTCACTGCAACCTCCACCTCCCAGGTTCAAGTGATTCTCCTGCTTCAGCCTCCCAAGTAGCTGGGATTACAGGTGCCCACCACCACACCCAGCTAATGTAGAGATGAGGTTTCACCATGTTGGCCAGGCTGGTCTCAAACTCCTAACCTCAGGTGATCCGGCCACCTCGGCCTCCCAAAGTGCTGGGATTACAGGCATGAGCCACCACACCCGGCCTAATGGGCGGTAATTTAGATTAGGGTGTGGAGCAGAGCAGTGATCAGATTTGGGATGTAATTTGGGGGGTAGGGCAGACAGAGCAAGCTAGCAGACGTGTAGGGTGCACAGAAAAGAGGAATCGAGAAAGATATCTAATTTTTTTTTTTTTTTTTTTTTTTTTTTGAGACGGAGTTTCACTCTTGTTACCCAGGCTGGAGTGCAATGGCATGATCTCGGCTCACCGCGACCTCCGCCTCCTGGGTTCAGGCAATTATCCTGTCTCAACCTCCTGAGTAGCTGGGATTACAGGCACGCGCTACCATGCCCAGCTAATGTTTTGTATTTTTAGTAGAGACGGGGTTTCACCATGTTGACCAGGATGGTCTTGATCACTTGACCTTGTGATCCACCCGCCTCGGCCTCCCAAAGTGCTGGGATTACAGGCTTGAGCCACTGTGCCCGGCTAAAATTTTTTTTTTTTTAAAACAGGAGTCTTGCTCTGTCACCCAGGCTGGAGTGCGGTGGTGTGATCTCAGCTCACTGCAACCTCTGCCTCAGCCTCCCGAGTAACTGGAATTACAGGTGCGTGTCCCCACGCCTGGCTAATTTTTTGTATTTTTAGTAGAGATGGAGTTTTACCATCTTGGCCAGTCTGATCTTGAAGTCCTGACCTGATGCTCCACCTGCCTCAGCCTCCTGAAGTGCTGGGATTATAGGCATTAGCCACCGTGCCTATTTCTATTATTACATTGTAATATATAATGAAATAATTATACAACTCACCATAATGTCGAATTAGTGGGAGCCCTGAGCTTGTTGTCCTGCAACTCGGCAGTCCCATCTGGGGGTGATGGGAGACAGTGACAGATCATCAGGCATTAGATTATCATAAGGATTGCACAACCTAGATCCCTTGCATGCACAGTTCACAGTAGGGTTCACGCTCCTGTGAAAATCTAATGCTGCCGCTGATCTGACAAGAGACGAAGCTCAGGCAGTAATGCAAGCGATGGGGTTCAGCTGTAAATACAGAGGAAGCTTTGCTCACTCACCTGCCACTCACCTCCTGCTGTGCAGCCCCTAGCACCTAACAGGCCATTGACCTCTACCAGTCCATGGCCTAGAGGCTGGGGTCCCCTGCTTTAAACCACGTGTTTCAACTTAGAAATTATTATTCAATACATAAATAAGAAAAATGAGGCTGGATGTGGTGGCTCACGCCTGTAATCTCAGCACTTTGGGAGGTCAAGGTGGGTGAATCACGAGGTCAGGAGTTCAAGACCAGCCTGGCCAAGATAGTGAAACCCTGTCTCTACTACAAATACAAAAATTAGCCAGGCATGGTGGCACGTGCCTTTAATCCCAGCTACTCGGGAGGCTGAGGCGGAGAATTGCTTAAACCCAGGAGGCGGAGGTTGCACTGAGCTGAGATTATGCCACTGCACTCCAGCCTGGGTAACAACAGCAAAACTCCGTCTCAAAAAAAAAAAAAAAAAAAAAAAAAGAAAGAAAAAGAAAAAAAATGACCTTAACTTTTCCTTTGATTAATATTTGAACTCAAGTTGAAGATTCTGAATTTCTGAAGACACTCAGCCCTATTTACAGCCTAATTTCCTTCCTGCCAACATTTTAAATATATTTGTAAATTTAATATATTTGATTTTCTTTTTAAGTACTTTATACCATAACCAGCACAGTTTTCCCCAGAATACTTAAAGTTACTACAAAATCTAATCAGTTAAATTTATAATGAATTTCCAGTCTTTGTAAATAATTCTTTTTATAGACTTAGTAAACTTTTCTTGTGCCAGTGGCTCTTAGTATAAGGAGCTAAAAAGAACACAAACAAATAAACAGTCTGTATTTCTGACATGAAATAGGAATATATGGGGGACCCCTTAGTAACCTTTACAGCACCCCAGTGATTATGATATACAGTTCATATTTTCAATCACTGCTAACCTCTCAGTCTAAAAGCACAACTCATAAATTACTGACATATATTTTATCAAGTACTGTCTCTGTATTTTAACTTCTGTATTTTAAATTGGAATCACAATGCTTATCTGTTAGATACTCAACATATCACATTTTTTTCAATATTACAGATAATTTTTGTGTTTTGTTTTGAAACAGTATCTCACTCTCTTACCCAGGCTTGAGTGCAATGGTGCCATCTTGGGACCATAGCTGGGTGCCATAGCTGGGACCACAGGCCAGAGCCCACACCACCACGTCTGGCTAATTTTTTTTTTGTTGAGACCTAGTCTTGATTTTGGTGATTGCAGTGGCATGATCTTGGCTCACTGCAACCTCCGCCTCCTGGATTCAAGCAGTTCCCTGCCTCAGCCTCCCAAGTAGCTGGGATTACAGGCACCTGCCACCATGCCCGGCTAATTTTTGTATTTTTAATAGAGACAGGGTTTCACCATGTTGGCCAGGCTAGTCTTTTTTTTTTTTAAAGATGGGGTTTCACCATGTTGGTCAGGCTGTTCTTGAACTCCTGACCTCAGGTGATCCGCCTGCCTTGGCCTCCAAAGTGCTTAGATTACAGGCGTGAGCCACTGCGCCCGGCTGGCCAGGCTAGTCTTGAACTCCTGACCTTGTGATCCACCCACCTCGGCCTCTCAAAGTGCTAGGATCACAAGCGGGAGTCACCACACCTGGCCTATTGGGCTAATTTTTAAAAAATTATTTGTAGAGACAAGGTCTCCTTATGGTTTTGAAATCCTGGGCTCAAGTGATCCTCCTGCCTTCCAAAGGGCTAAGATAACAGTTGTGAGCCACCATCCCCACCCTACAGACACTTCTTTTTTTTGTTTTTTGAGAGGAGTCTCACTATGTTGCCTAGGCTGGAATGCAGTAGCTTGACCTTGGCTCACCACAACCTCAGCTTACTGCAACCTCTGCCTCCCGGGTTCAAGCAGTTCTCTTGCCTTAACCTCCCAAGTAGCTGGGATTACAGGCATGCACCACTACGCCGGGCTAATTTTTTGTATTTTTGTTAGAGACGGGGTCTTACCAGGTTGACCAGCCTGGTCTTGAACTCTTGACTTCAGGTGATCTGCCTGCCTCAGCCTCCCAAAGTGTTGAAATTACAGTTGTGAGCCACTGCAACCAGCCAGATACTTTTTAATTCCAAGAATATACTGATTATTACTAAACTTAGGATAGGAACATTAATACAGTGAGTTTGATTTGCTCTTATGCTCCTATTTTCAATTCTAAACTTTCTAGGAGTGTGACAAGACACTTATCAAGTAAGAAAACAGCTTTATCCACTTAATGCATTGTGCTTAGCATCAAGTTGGACTACCACTTCAGTGACCTGAGGTTATTCATAATTGGACTGATTTCAAGCTGGGACATGAGTCCAGGGGGCTATGTCTACCCAGAGTAACTGTGCCCAGCAGAGGCTGCATTTGGAACTCGAGAGAAAGTTCATTCCTCCAGGCTTTTGCTTCTTAAGGGGTGTTAGACCTGCTAGTTAAAATGCAGATTTCTAGGTCTCCCTCCAGATCTGCTAAATCAGGATTTCTGGGAACTTGACCCAGGAAACTTTTTTTGTTTTTGAGATGGAGTCTTGCCCTGTCACCCAGGCTGGAGTGCAGTGGCACAATCTGGGCTCATCACTGCCACCTCCACCTTCGGGTTTCAAGCAATTCTCATGCCTCAGCCTCCCAAGTAGCTGGGATTACAGGTGCATGCTACCACGCTGAGCTAATTTTTTTTTTTTGAGACAGAGGAATCTGTCTGGGACAGTCAGGCTGGAGTGCAGTGGCTTAACCTTGGCTTGCTGCAACCTCCCCCTCTCAGGTTTAAGCAGTTCTCCTACCTCAGCCTCCGGAGTAGCTGGGATTATAGGTGACTGCCACCATGCCCAGCTAATTTTTATATTTTTAGTAGAGACGGGGTTTCGCCATGTTGGTCAGGCTGGTCTTGAACTCCTGACCTCAGATGATCTGCTTGCCTCAGCCTCCCAAAGTGCTGGAATTACAGATGTGAGCCACTGTGCCCAGCCCAATTTTGTATTTTTAGTAGAGATGGGGTTTCACCATGTTGGCCAGGCTGGTCTTCAACTCCTGACCTCAGGTAATCTGCCCGCCTTGGCCTCTCAAAGTGCTAGGTGTGAGCCACCATGCCCAGCCCCCTTTTATTTTTTATTTCTTTGAGACAGGGTCTCACTCCGTCACCCAAGCTGGCATGATCAGAGCTCACTATAATCTCAAATTCCTGGGCTCCAGTGATCCTCCCATCTTAGCATCTTGAGTAGCAAGGACTACAAACACAGACACCCCAACTGCCTAATTAAAGAAATTTTTTTTTGTAGAGACAGGGGTCTCACTGTGTTGCCCAGGCTGGTCTAGAACTCCTGACCTCAAGTGATCCCCCCCCCTTGGCCTCCTGAAGTGCTGGGATTATAGGTGTGAGTCACCGCATTTAGCTGAGATTCATTTTTAATAAGGTTCCCACTTGGAAGCCATGGAAAATTTTGAGCAGGGATGATTTAAGAAGAGTTGATCTGATGCTGCTTATGATACAGCGAACTGAGGGGGCTGTCCAGATATGAGGAGTCCAGAGGTGAGGAGCTGAGATCTGACTTGGGCAGGAGTGGCAGTGGAGATAGAGGATCAGATGATATTTGGAAGCCCGGACTGGGGAGAGAAGAAGGGGGAGGCAGAGACAGTTCTGAGTCTAAGTATCTGGTTCAGGAGTCTCATTTAAACTATTTTTACCTTTCCTCTTTGGAAACTCTGGCCTCGTGGGACCTGTAACTATCTGATAGAAACTGTGTCTCCAGCCTGCAGTCCCTAGAGCCCAGATTCAGGCTCAGCCCACCTTCACTGAGCCTTGGGGTGTGCTAGACCAAGTCTGGTTGGAATCAGCATTTGCCTTGTCAGTCTTCATCCAGGGGCTGAGGGCAATGTCTGTGCTGTCTCTTTCACCACTCACCACCCCTGGCTGGTTCATCTGAGTGAACCAGGTCTCTGGAACCCTCCACAGCAGCCTCCAGAGGGAGAAGGAATAGGATTTATCCCTGCCTTACAAATTTCCCACTTGTTCTTTTTCTCTTTTTTAGAGGCTAGTCAAGCAAAACAGTGGGAGATGAGAAGGAACAGAGAAATCTGTGTCTGTTGTCCAGGATGGAGTGCAGTGTCGTGATCACGGCTCACTGCAGCCTTGAACTCCTGGGCTCAGGTAATCCTTCCACCTCAGCCTCCCAAGTAGCTGGGACTACAGGTGTGTGTTATCATACCTAACTAATTTTTTAATTAAAAATTTTTTTTCAGGCTGGGCGCGGTGGCTCACGCCTGTAATCCCAGCACTTTGGGAGGCCGAGGCAGGTGGATCACGAGGTCAAGAGATCGAGACCATCCCGGTCAGCACGGTGAAACCCCGTCTCTACTAAAAATACAAAAAATTAGCTGGGCATGGTGGCGCGTGCCTGTAATCCCAGCGACTCAGGAGGCTGAGGCAGGAGAATTGCCTGAACCCGGGAGGCGGAGGTTGCGGTGAGCCGAGATCGCGCCATTGCACTCCAGCCTGGGTAACAAGAGCGAAACTCCGTCTCAAAAAAAAAAAAAAAAAAAAAAAAAAAAATTTTTTTTTTTTTTGTTTCTTTGAAACAGTCTCACTCTGTCGCCCAGGCTGGAGTATAGTGGCGCAATCTTGGCTCACTGCAACCTCTGCCTCCCAGGTTCAAGTGATTCTCCTGCCTCAGCCTCCTGAGTAGCTGGGATTACAGGCACGTGCCACCATGCCCAGCTAATTTTTTGTATTTTTAGTAGAGACGGGGTTTCACCATGTTGACCAGGATGGTCTCGATCTCTTGACCTCGTGATCCACCCGCCTCGGCCTCCCAAAGTGCTGGGATTACAGGCTTGAGCCACCGCGCCCGGCCTAATTTTTGTATTTTTAGTAGAGAAGGGGTTTCACCAAGTTAGCCTCGAACTCTTGACCTCAGGTGATCTACCTGTGTCGGCCTCCCAATGTGCTGGGATTAAAGGCATGAGCCACTGTGCCCAGCCAAATAAAAAAAAATTTTTTTTATAGGGATGAGGGTGGTCTCACTATGTTACCCAGGCTGCTCTTGAACTCGTGGGCTCAAGTGTTCCCCTCGCCTCATCCTCCCAAAGTGCTGGGATTACAAGCTTGAGCCACCGCGCCCGGCCTGGACTCGCATTTCTCTGTAGAGTCTGAATCAGGACTTTCTTAGATCCTGCCCTGTCCCAGACCTGCCGAGTTAGAAATTGCAGTGGGTGGGCCCCTTGCTGCCTTAGACCTGTAGGAATAAGATGATGTGCCTCACCCCAGGGGTAGGCAGAAGGCAAATGTAGGAATGAGGTCAGGATGAAAAAGGTGTGTGGCTGCCACCCAACACTGGGGTGTCTCAAGGATGCCCCCAACCTATGGGGGCTCCGGTCAGGAAAGACATCTGGATTTCCTTGTCACTTTCGTTGGAGCAGGGTCCTGCACCAGCAGTCTGCAGGCCACCCCCACAGGGCGGTTCTGATGCTGTCAACTCCAGATGGCAGGCATATGTGACACTGGGACATTACCGAGCTCCTAGGGGGCGTGCAATAAAGCCATCCTCTGGCTGTGGTTTGCTTTTTACCTGGGGTCTGGTGGTGCCATAATTAGAAAATATAACAGGTGAGCTTCAGGGTCACCTGTGGTGAACACAAGTCGAGGATAATTACAGTGCGCATCCCTGCCCCTGGCCAAAGGCCGAGCTATTAGCTTATTTTTGCCTTGTGTCAAAGCCAGCTCTGTCTGTAACTGAGACACACACAAGGAAAGGAATGCAAAACATTGAGGAAGCACAAATGTTTGCCCGGTAACAGTCTCACAGCAGGACAGTGAGATGGGGAGAGAGTGGGCTCTGGGGTCAGCCAGACCCGAGTGTGCGTGCCAGCTCTGGTGTGCCTTGGTTGTGGGGCATTGGGCACGTGGCTTCACAGTGTCATGGTGAAGGCTCCACAAGTGGGCACCCTGGCCCACTGGCAGCTCAGGATAATGAGACATTATTGTTATTGGTTATTGATGTAAGTGTCGTTATGAAACTAACAGTAATTGTTATGATTATTGTTAGAGTCTTTCCTGGCCGTGGCTGTGAAGAAATTAGGACTGAGTATTCTCAGACCTGTTTTCTGGTCTGCAAAATAGACACTTGATATTGATATCTACTCAGAGGGTCTCCAGGAGAATTAAATAAGGGAATGAAGTGAAGTGCCAAGCAAGCAGAAATCAAATCTGAAGCTGTCACCCATCACCCCCCACCCCCAGCCTCTTTCCTCCCCTCTGCCACCCCACAGTATCTGGACTAGTTTTCTTTTTTTGTTTCTTTCTTTTTTATTTAAAGACAAAGTCTCGCTTTGTTGCCCAGGCTGGAGGACAGTGCTACCTGGGTTCGAGTGAGCAATTCTCTTGACTCAGCCTCCCAAGTAGCTGGGATTACACACGCATGCCACCATGCCCAGCTAATTTTGTATTTTTAGTAGAAACAGGGTTTCACCATGTTGGCCAGGCTGGTCTCAAACTCCTGACCTCAAGTGATCCACCCACCTCGGCCTCCTAAAGTGCTGGGATTACAGGCGTGAGCCACCGCTCCTGGCTTCAACTAGTTTTCTTTGAGCCTGGAGGATGGCAGTCAGGTCTCATGAGACAACGGGTGAGGTTTGAGGCAGCGGAATGGGATTAAATGGGGATCCCAGCAGCTGGGCAGGCTGGGGCCCTGGTGGAGACAGAAGTCCCACCAGGTGGGAGGGCTGGTGGCAGCCGTGAGAGACCTGGCTTCAGGGCTTTATGTCCCTCTCTTCAGTATCTGTCCCTGTCTTTGTACCTAGATTGAGCAGAGGGCTGCAGAGGTGCTGGCATTGAGCAGAGAGTAGGAGACCTCGGCTTCTGTGGGCCGCTGGCTCATTCATGCCCAAGCAGCTGTGGGTGCAAGAGTATGCTGGACCCTATTCGGGTGCTGGGGGCCAGCAGCTGGACAAACAGAACTCTCTGCCCTTGTGGGGCCTGTATTCTGGTGGCAAAGGCAGGCACACAGGACAGTAATCAGCAGGTGAGAAGGCATGCTGTGGAAACAGAGCACGTTGGAAGGGGAGGTGGACATACCTGTGACATTGGCTTTGACTGCAGTTTTGGTTTTGTTTGAGACAGAGTCTCACTCTGTTGCCCAGGCTGGTGGAGTACAGTGGCGTGATCTCGGTTCACTGCAACCTCCGCCTCCCAGGTTCAAGTGATTCTCTTGTTTCAGCCTCCAGAGAAGCTGGGACTCCTGAGCTCAGGTGATCCACCTGCCTTGGCCTCCCAAAGTGCTGGGATTACAGGCATGAACCACTGTGCCCGGACTTGACTGTGGTTTTAAAGCGGGGTTCAGAATGTGCTCACTTAGAGGGTGAGGGGGTGGGCAGCGTGGATGATAATAGTAACAACAGTAACAGCATCCATTGTTTGAGCAGGAACTATATGCTACACACCTTTTTTTTCTGTTTGAAACAGGGTCTCTGTCACCCAGGCTGGAGTATAGTGGTGCAATCTCAGCTCACTGCAGCCTTGACCTCCTTGGGCTCAAGCAGCCTCCCAAGTAGCTGGCACTACAGGTGTGCACCACCATGCCTACCTAATTTTCTTTTCTTTCTGTGGCAATGGGGTCTCTCCATGTTGTCCAGGCTGGTCTCAAACTCCTGGGCTCCAGTGATCCTCCCAACATGTTGGGATTACAGGCCTGAGCCATTGCACCTGGCTACTGGGCACCTTAATGTACTCCTGCCTCGGTAAATCTCAGCAGCTATGGGATCCATGTTTTATAGCTAAGGACAGATCCAGGGAGATGAAATAGCTTTCCAGGGGTCAACCAGCTTATAAGCAGCAGAGGTGGAATTCAGATGTGACCCATGTGGCCCACGTGGCTCAGAGGTTGTCCCACTAGCCCTGCCCACTGCCTCTTGGCCACGAGGAGCCAGCACTCTCACCTGCTGATGTTCTGGGGATCCAGCAGATGCCTTTGCAGCTGTGGACCTGGTCCCTGGGAGTCGGTGGATGGCACCACCTGTGTTTCTGGCAGGGAGTGGGGCCGGATGGTTCTGTGTTCCGGACAGGACCTCGCTCACACTCTGCTGCGCGTGCTACCCTCAGACGATAGGGATGAATCACAGCAGAAGGGGACAGCTTAGTCAGCACCCCATGCTGGTGTCTGGGCACTGTTCAGAGACACTCTGGCTGTCCCGTCCCTCCTGTGTCCCTGACCCCCGACTTGGCTGCCAAGTATGATGGTGCAGGTTTCACCTGGTGCAAGGACACCTGGCTGAGGGGTGAGTTAGAGCTGAACTCCAGCCAGCATTCTGCTTGCCAAGTTGAGCGTCTGGCAGGGCGCTGCATGTGTCCAGGGGATTCTGCAAGCCGAACCTTATCCTAACGTGGGCAAAGTCATCAGAGCAGGAGGCATTTGGGTCAGGAGCTCTAGAATTTCACACCTGAGTGAGGTCACCTTGCTGAAGGCCAGCCTCTGCCCGGGAACAGGGCTTTAGGCTCATGCCTGTGGGGACAGGCCCGTGAAGTAGGTGGGATGTGCACCCCATCACCCCAATCCCATCCCTGGGCAGTGGGGGGCTCTGCATAGCTGTATTTTTTTTTTTTTTTTCTGAAAGGGAGTCTCGTTCTGTTACCCAGGCTGGAGTGCAGCGTCACAATCTTGGCTCACTGCAACCTCCGCCTCCTGAGTAGCTGGGATTACAGGTACATACCACCACGCCTGGCTAATTTTTGTATTTTAGTAGAGAGGGGTTTCACTGTGTTAGCCAGGGTGGTCTCAAGCTCCTGACCTCAAGTGATCTACCCACCTTGGCCTCTGAAAGTGCAGGGATTACAGATGTGAGGCACCACGCCCGGCCACGCATAGCTGTTACATAGAGCAGGGATCTGGGCCTGCTGTGGGGACTGAGGTTTCAGACCCACCTCTGCCTCTTGTGCTGAGTACTTTGGGTGGCTCACTTCCCCTCTCCTGACCTCACTTTTCTCATCTGTAATATGGACCAGCTGACCCCAGAGGTCACTGGGTACTGACGTCCTGTTCTTTGAGCCTCTGTTTTCTGGAGGACAATGGTGATGACAGCCAAGGTTTCTCGAAGGCATTCTGTGGACCAAGCTTTGTGCTAGGCGTGTACGTGGAGGATCTGATTCTAGTAGCAACCCCTGAGGTGAATGCTGTTATCATCCCAGTTTTCATAGCAGGAAAACAAGGCCAGAAATGAAATAATAGCCCAGGGTCACCAAGTGAGAAAGTTAGGAAGCAGTGGCGACTGGATGTAAGCCCTGACATCTGACTCTAAACCCTGTCCCCGGCAGCCTCCCCAGGCACAGAAGTGCGGTGATCGCTGGTCCTGGGTTCTCAGTGCTGTCCCCAGGCTGGGTATCCCCCTCAGGGCAAGAGGGTCAGGGAGGGGTCCGCCCAGGTGGTGCCCAGTGGGCATGCTTTCCCATCCCAGAGGAACTGTGCTGCCTGCCGCTGTCCCTGGCCTGACACTGCACATGTGTCTGACTGGTAGATAGAAAGCATTGCTGGCCGGGTATGGCTGCTCATGACTATAATCCCAGCACTGCGAGAGGCAGAGATGGGAGGATCACTTGAGCTCAGGAGTTTGGGACCAACCTGGGCCACGTGGCGAGGCCATTATTTAAATTTATTTATTTATTTATTTATTTATTTTTTTTTTTTGAGATGGAGTTTCGCTCTTGTTACCCAGGCTGGAGTGCAATGGCGCGATCTCGGCTCACCGCAACCTCCGCCTCCCGGGTTCAGGCAATTCTCCTGCCTCAGCCTCCTGAGTCGCTGGGATTACAGGCACGCGCCACCATGCCCAGCTGATTTTTTGTATTTTTAGTAGAGACGGGGTTTCACCATGTTGACCAGGATGGTCTCGATCTCTTGACCTCGTGATCCACCCGCCTCAGCCTCCCACAGTGCTGGGATTACAGGCTTGAGCCACCGCGCCCGGCCTCATTATTTAAATTTAAAAAAAAAAGCATTGCTGTGGGCATCTTCTCATCTTATCACTGGATATTAGAACCAGAGACCCTTTAGAGATCACCTGGTCCTGCTGCTTCCCACATGGGGAAACTGAGGCCCAGAGAGAGCAAGTGGCTGAGTAACAGACTGAGCCACATGGCAGAGCTGGGACTAGAATGTGGGGTCCTGTTGACCCATCCAGGATGGCCAAGCACTTCCCATGTGCTAGATGATGGGTGGGCAGAGGAGGGCATGGGTAAGCAGCCATGGCCCTGAGCTGAGGCTGACAAGTGAATGGAACCATTAGCTGGTTTGCCACCCATGGAGTGGGGGTGGTGAGAGAGATGGGGGAAAACACAAACCCTCTCACATATACACATACATACGGCCCACCAAAGGAGCTTACCGTTTGGGTCAGAGTGTGGCTGGGCAGGCAGGCCGAGGAGCATGCGGTTTGATTTCCTGTTGGGTGGCATTTGGGAAGCTAGCATTGCAGTATGAACTCAGGCTTTCCTGGCAGACCTGAGCCCCAGGTATCCTGAGGCCTGCGCTGCCCTTCCTACGTGTGTGACCTGGGGCCCTTCATGGCACCCCTCTGAGTTTTAGTTTCCTCATTCATGAGTGAGATGATAATCCATACCTCTCGGGGCTTGAAGGGGCTAGCAGGGTCCTAGGGTGTAGTGATTAATAAAGGAAAATTGTCATTAGTATGATTTCTTAAGAGGAGACTTTTTTTTTTTTTTTTGGATGGGGGTCTCACTGTATTGTCCAGGCTGGAGTACATTGGCTCGATCTCAGCTTACTGCAGCCTCTGCCTCCTGGGCTCAAGCCATGCTGACGCCTCAGCTTCCTGAGTAGCTGGAACTGGAGGCATGCGCCACCGATGCTCAGCTAATTTTTGCATTTTTTGTGGAGATGAGGTTTCACTCTGTCACCCAGGCTGGTCTTGAACTGCTGGACTCAAGAAATCTACCCTCCTGAGCCTCCCAAAATGCTGGGATTAAGGAGGAGACTTTCATTATATGATTAGGAGGGGGGACCCTAGAGGCCTACTGCCTGGATTCCAAGCCCAGCTGGGCTCCTTCCTACAATGTGACCTTGACTAAGTCACTTCATCTCTGGAACCTCAGTGCCCCCATCTAAAAAGGCATAACAGCCCCTCCCCCACAGGTTGTCATGGGGATTAAATGAGATGATGCATATAGAGCTTTCAGCTTAGTGCCAGCACATAGTAGGTAGTCAGTAAACCACTAGCCCTAATAAGAGGTAACATTTATTGAGCCCTTGCATAATGCCAGACATTCTCAGCATCGTTTTCACCATTTGCATCAGAAACTTCTGTGTACCACTCCCTGAGCAACCCACCATCGCCTCATATTCCCACAGTGAAAGTAGAGGCCTAGAGATGGGAAGTGACTTGCCCAAGGTCACAGGCAGCTTCTCAATGCCTGTGTGGTTTTGTCCAACTAAGTAGGCTGCAGAGCCACTGTTCTGTTTCAGCCTCCCAGAGAAGCACCCTCTGGCTCCCCTCCCTTCCCCATCACTCTCCAGCACCGGCAGCTGCTCAGAGCTTCAAGCTTTGTGAATGGCTTGCTTTAGCACTTGGCTGTTAAACATTCATCTCTTACAATTTCAATCCAATTCCTATAAGTTTATTGGCAAGACGGGGTGTATTAGAGCTGCCAAATTTAATATATCAAGTGTGCGTGTCTGGGACATGGTCTCTCTGCAGTAATGGGAGAAGAGAGGTTTTATATGTTTTCATTTTGAATGACTGTCTGTTCCTGATCCCATTACGGCCCCTGACTTAATGGCTGCTGTCCCTGTCTGCTGCAAGAGCGGCTTTCTCCATCAACCTGCTTGGCTGCTGGGACTGTCCCTGTGTCTCTCCTCAGTCTCCTCCTCCTGAGCTGCGTTCCCTCATCGGTCCACTGTGGTGATCAGGTCCTGGGAGTCTGGGGCTTTGGCTGCTAGCCCAAATAGCTACCTTGTGACCTTGGGGAAATTCATTTCTCTTCCTCAGAAACCTGTTCTGTGAAGTGAGGAGTCTGACCACAGGGTCTGGGCTCAGCCTTGGCAGATTCACCATAGTGGCCCCAAGTGGACCCATTCCACCTCCTGTCTTGTACCAAACTCACAGACCCAAGAGCTGGCTGTGAGAGTCTGAATTGCCACGCACCTTGGGCCGCAGATCTGGATCAGGAGTGGTGGCTGTGGTCACCACGGCTGAGAGGTCTTAAGACCCCCAAAATGTTTTCATTTCCCTCTGCGACTGGATGGGGACCTGCCACCTGATAATTTGGTGATCTCCTTGGGAAGCTGTCAGCATTCACTCCCTGAGCCCTCTGGTTTCTCTAAACCTTGAACTGGCTGTGGAAGAGAAGACACCTGGCAGCCTGACGTTAGGGGACTGGGTTTGCTTTCTGCTTATCAGCTGTGTGATCTGGGGCAAATCACACCCCCTCTCTGAACCTCATTGTCCCAAAGGGAAAATGGGAATTGATCCATTTAACAAGTACTTCAATGCCTACTGTGTACTGTGTACTATTTTAGGTGCTGGGGCTCCAGCAATAAACAAAACACAAACCCACCCTCATGGCTTTATATTCTTATTGGGGGAGAAAGACAATAAACATAACAAGTAACTTATTGCTTGAAGGGTGTATTAATTAGTCCACTCTCACATTGCTACAAGGAAATACCGGAGACTGGGTTATTTACAAAGGAAGTGGGTTTAAGTGACACAATTCTGCATGGCTGGGAAGACCTCAGGAAACTTAGAATCATGGCAGAAGGGAAAGGGGAGGCAGGCACCTTCTTTACAAGGCGGCAGGAGAGAAAAGTGCTGAGCAAAGCAGGAAGAGCCCCTTATAAAACCATCAGATCTTGTGAGAACTCTTCACTATTATGAGAGCAGCATGGGGGAAACTACCCCCATGTCAGTTACCTCCACCTGTTCTCTCCCTTGACACGTGGGGATTATGGGGATTACAATTCACGATGAGATTTGGGTGGGGATACAAAACCTAACCATATTAAAGGGTGATATATGCTATGAGGGAAAATAAGGCAGGGAGTGGAGGAAGCTAAGTGGAGCATTCTGCAGTCTTAAATAAAGCAGCATTGGAGCAAAGATGGAAGGGGTCAAGAGGAGAAGTGAGGCAGGTGTTTGCGGGAGGGCACACCCCCCGCCCCTGGGAGCCTCGGGTGCAAAGGCCAGGAGGTGGCTGTGTGCCTGGCATGTATGGTGCAGATGTGGAGGTCAGAGGTCAGAGGTACGGTAGGGGATGGGTGCGGTGGCTCATACCTGTAATCCCAGCATTTTGGGACGCCAAGGTGGGAGGACACTTGAGCCCAGGAGACCAGCCTCTGTAACATGGTGAGACCCCATCTCTACAAAAAAAAAAAAAAATGTTTTTTTAAGTTAGGCATGGTGGCATGCACCTGTAGTCCCAGCTACTCAAGAGGCTGAGGCAGGAGGATCACTTGAGCCCGGGAGGTTAAAGCTACAGTAAGCTGTGGTCACACCATTGCACTCTACCCTGGGTGACAGAGCAAGACCCTGTCTCAAAAAAAGAAAACCCTATCTGGTAGGGGACAAGGGAGGCCGGCCAAAGAGTGTAAGATGACAGTTCTTCAGCCTACTTACATGTTAGAATTACTGGATAGGCTTTAAAAAATACCAAACAGCAGCCAGGTACAGTGGCTTATGCCTATCATCCCAGTACTTTGAGAGGCGGAGACAGGAAGATTCTTTGAACCCAGGAGGTTGAGGCTGCAGTGAGCTGTGTTTGCACCACTGTACTCCAACCTGGGTGACAGAGCAAGACCCTCTCAAACAAAACCCAAAAACCAAAAAACCGTACCCAGGCGTCATCCACTGCGGTTCTGCTTTAACAGGTCTGAATTGCAGGCTGAGCATCAATCAGAATTGTTAACAGATCCCTCTGGAATGAGGCCTCTCATGAGCTTGACATTCCTAATGAGCGGGGGTGCATGTAAGTCAAGGCTTGGCTCAGGCCTGGCCCTCAGGAAGGATTCAGTGGGCTGGTGAGGGTTGTATTTTCTCTAGTGGTCTGATCTGAGCTCTTTGTGCCTTCCCAGGCAGCAAAGCACCTGCTCTGAGTGGCCATGGGGAAGCGATATTTCTGTGACTACTGTGACCGCTCCTTCCAGGACAACCTCCACAACCGAAAGAAGCACCTGAACGGGCTGCAGCACCTCAAGGCCAAGAAGGTCTGGTACGACATGTTCCGAGGTGGGTGCCGCTGGCTGGGAGCTGCGCTCCTGGAGCCCTGCTCTCTGATCTTTCCTGTCATCAAAGACCCCCATCAGTCAGTGACAGTCTGGGTCTGGGCTCTTTGAGAATCAAAATAGAGAGAGGCCTGGGCCACTGGGCCCTCAGAGGAGCAGGCTGGTAGGTGAGCTCTTTCTCCAGCAACCCTGACTGAGGGCTCTGTGCTCCAGGTAACTGCCAGGCTCTGGGGATGCTGTAGACAGGAAGAAGAAGGCCCTAGAAAGAGGTGATATTGGCTGGGCATGGTGGCTCACGCCTATAATCTCAGCACTTTGGGAGGCCGAGGCAGGTGGATCACCTGAGGTCAGGAGTTTGAGACCAGTCTGACCAACATGGCGAAACCCTGCCTTTACTAAAAATACAAAAATTAGTCAGGCATGCTGGTGGGTGCCTGTAGTCCCAACTACTCAGGAGGTTGAGGCAGGAGAATCATTTGAACCTAGGAGGTGNAAAAATACAAAAATTAGTCAGGCATGCTGGTGGGTGCCTGTAGTCCCAACTACTCAGGAGGTTGAGGCAGGAGAATCATTTGAACCTAGGAGGTGGTGGTTGCAGTAAGCCGAGATCACACTATTGCACTCCAGCCTGGGCAACAGAGCGAGACTCCATCTCAAAAAAAAAAAAAAAGGTGATGTTTGAGCTAACAGCTGAAATAGGGGAAAGCCAGCCACGTGGTTCTGGGTGGAGGGTGTGCAGAGAAGCAGGCAGCCCTGAGTCCAGCACCAGGGCTTTCTGAGCAGGAGGGAGAGCATGTGGCTGGGCGGAGCAGGCCAGGGGAGAATGGTGGGGCTCGAACTCACGCTGGGGCAGGGATCTTCCAGGCCTGTGGAGGCCATTGTAAGTGGAGGGGCAGAAGAGGGGGTCCCTGTTCCAAGGGCACAGAGCAGCCTTTGAAGGGCTTTAGCTGCTGTGGCCAGACCTACATTGACAGTGCAGACTGCTTCATGGGGAGCAGTTGGGTGCAGTCAGTGGCAGTTGAATGAATGGCTGCAGGCATGGGTGAATAATCAAGTTGCAGGAGGAGGGCAGGCTCTTCTGGGAAAGGCCTCTCAGAGCAGAAACAATTGGGGTGAATGAGCTAAGGTTGGAAGTGCCTAGCATGGGACCTGTTTGCTGGAAGGTGCCCATTGAGGAGAGTTATGCTGTTTCCTGGCTGTCACTGTCCAGGACACACTGAGGAACAGTCAGGAAGGTTCCAGAGCATGACTAGGCAGAAGCCAGGTTAAGAGGTATGGGCACTTGGCAGTGGGTTGAGGGTGGACCAGGAGCTCCTGGAATGAGCCAGAGTGGGGCCGATGCCCTGTAGGTCGGTGTGCAGGATTCTGGGACAGGACTTCTGAAGAGGAACCAAATCCAGCAGCCAAGAAGGAAGGAGAAATGGAGAGAGTTCCCTGGTTGGGGCTATGCATGGTGGCTTTCGCCTATAATCCCAGCACTTTGGGACACTGAGGTGGGAGGATTGTTTGAGCCCAGGAGTTTAAGAGCAGCCTGGGCGGCCGGGCGCAGTGGCTTACGCCTGTAATCCCAGCACTTTGGGAGGCCGAGGCGGGTGGATCACGAGGTCAAGAGATCGAGACCATCCTGGTTAACACGGTGAAACCCCGTCT